CGTTTTACTTTCACTTTCAAATTAGCAGCAATTCGGCGTTGATTCAATTCAAGCAACAACAACGTCAAACTCATAGAACTTTTATTAACAAAACGAATAAAAATACACCATATATGCCTAATAAAATAACAAATTACTTGGGCTACACAAAGTTAAAATAGGTATATACAACTGAAAATCAGCAAACACTGTGGAACCAAATAAATAAGAAACAGAACGTTTATTAGTAAAACGTATAAGAAAGCTTGGAGGCACGGCATATACACCTTGATGTAAAATAAAATAAATAAAATACACAAAGTATAAATAAAGTAATCAGCAAACACTGTGGAACCAAATAAATAAGAAAAGAATGTTTAAAAAAAAACTTCCAGTCAATAGGATTTTCAAAATCTAAAATATTGCCAAACAGGCACCTTTGCAAGCCTACATTAGACCCTGCTGACTTTCATTGTATGGACAAAAAAAAAAAATTTCAAAGATGAAAGAAACAGGTCAGGAATATTAATGTTATCTAAAATAAAAGAACCCATAAAAATAGTTACTTTAAAAATAAATAAATGTTAACTGAAAGGAAAAGGTATTAAAAAACTTAAAAATATTCTATTTCAGATAGCTGCCAAGGAAACATTTCTCATTTTTATTGTTTAACTTGTACTAATATAACTAAAACTGAAATAAAATTTATAAAAACTACAGACACGTAAAAAACTAAAGAATATATTTTTTTAAATAAAAATTTAAATGAAAACAAAATCTAATTCAAACTCATTTTCATTGTTTAACTTGATCACTAAAACTGAAATATAATTTCACCATTTTTGGGTGAACTATCCATTTAAGCCAGATTTTTCTAACTGATTATTAAAACCACAAGCTGTAATTAATTCCAAGCAAACCTGCAATTTACCCACGGAATGAATGAATGAATGAATGAATGAATGAGACCTCGACTCAGAAGTAGTGCCTGTGATTTTCACAAAGCTCACTGCTCCACCTATTGGTCATTAATTTTTGTAAAAGACCCCACAGGACAGATCGATGCCAGAATGAGAAAACAAGCTGTGAGGAGCCTTACGGTGTGCTGTTTCCAAAAACTAAAAGACAGAGACTTTAAAAACAGCTGGCCAACACACTCTGTCTGACTTCTATAAGCTGAACACGATGACAAGCGGCAAAGCTGTCCGTCAGCGAGGCACAAGACTCTCTCTCTGTACGCCTTCCGGCAGCCAACTGTGAGTGATTCCTGCATGGGTAATAACTCTAATTAGAAATCTATTAACCAGTGCTTGCACCAGAGCAGTAAACAGACTGCAATTTTCTCTACCGCTGGTTCTACAAATCCAAATTACAGCACGGAGGACCTACGTTCAAATTCAGACTAACTTACAATTCCACCTTATTTTCCAATTAAGACAATCTTTCTTAAGGACACAGACGAATATTACTTAATAAAATGCATCATTAATATTGTTCCTTTTAGATAATGACTACAAGAAAAGACTTCTCTGTATTCATCTAATCAGCTAAAACAGCATTACATTTAATTAGGACTGGAAAGTAAAACTCCATTAGACAGTAGAGTGAACAAAAAGGCCAGCAGTAAACAAGATATATCTGTTGGGCCCTGGTCAATACGGTTTTGTTTATATTACAAGCGAATCGATTGACATTCATTGCCAGATACAACAAACAATAAAAGGCTTATTTAAAAGCATGCATTTAAGAATGAATCACTTGAATGCTTTTGTGCCCTACTCTGTTGTTAAAGGTGAAATGTGGGTAATTTGTATAATGTTGAAAACAAATTTCAGTTCATAAAGAAGTGTACAAGTTCATAAAGAAGTGTACAGGTGTAAAAATTGTCACTTTCAAAGATTTCTCACACAGCTTCATCCTAGCAGTAGCAGCAACCAGCAGTGTGATTTTGGGGTGGCAGCTTGGAAACAATTTTGTTTCTTAAAATACTTTGATGTTCAGGAAAATAAATACTATTTTCAGCTTGGGATTAGTATGATTTTTTTGAAAGAAGTCTCTTTATCTGCATTTATCTGATCAAAAAAACACTCAAAACAGTAATATTGTGAAATATTCCAATTTAAAACGTTTAAAAAGTTTTCTATTTGAATAGATTTTAAAATGTAACTTATTTCTGTGATGGCACAGCTGAATTTTCAGCAGCCATTACTCCAGTCTTCAGTGTCACATGATCCTTCAGAAATCATTCTGGTTTGATGCTCAAGAAACATTTCTTATTATCATGAATACTGAAAACAGTTGTGCTGCTTAATATTCTTGTGGAGACTGCGACTTTCATAATTCTTTTATGAACAGAACATTCAAGTGAACAAAGTCTTTTGTAACATTATAAATGTCTTTACTGTCACGTTTGATCAATTTAATGTATACCTGCAGAATAAATTTCTTTTTTTTTTTTTTTACATCTTACTGACCACAAACAATACCTTAACGGTATTGTAAATCAATGGATTTTCATATATCCAAAATATTTATGAATAATTTTCATATAAAAACAGTACTTAAAAGTTAGCCAGCCCAATTCAGCATCAAATCCTAGTGGGAAATGACTGCTGAGAATTTTGTCAGTACTGAAAACTTCTTCCTGCCCAGCAAAAAAAGATAAAGAAACAGGCTGATACACACTTGCACCGCAGACAAGCAATTAGCTCAGTGATGAGTTCCTGCCAAAGAAGTGTCAGAGCTGCCTGTTAGCAGAAGAATAGGCTGCCACCTCCAATAGACCAGATGGATTTCTCTCCCACTGACCCATCGAATCCACAATAGCCTACATCTGCCAACGACACATTCAGAGCAGTGCATATGGGCATTCCAGAGAGAGCCATCTCCAAAATCATTTCAGATGGGCTGAGCGAGAAAACACATCATTACTGTCAATAAGGCCACATTCTCTTATATAAATGACACTGGAGGAGCTTGCATAAATCATGAAAAAAATACCACACCATGTGAGCGTGCTTAGTGAGAATTAATGGCATTCAGCAGGAACTTCATCTCACACAGCTCCTCCTCTGATGCCTGCAGCTGTCTGTCATGACCCGGGATCAGGTGACCCCAGGTCCGCTGCGCTGCCAGCAAACGGTCTACCCATGGCCGGCCACAACAGATAGAGTCAGACTGAGTCATTGGGTACCCCCCCAAGGATCCAGAGGACCTCATCTCTCACCCTGAAGCCGATAGGACAGCTGTGCGTAAGCAAGCATCTTAAGCAAGAAACAACAAAGACAGCGGTTGACATTCCTCTTTTTCTAAGGTTTCCAGCAGTGAACTGTGAATCACCCTGCATAAAGACAGAATGTTCTCACGCGCTCACAAGCTTGCTACACCACGCACTGGGAAGTTGTAAAAACACTAATAAAACTGTGACGTTTGCACCAGGATGAGATACAAGTTAAGAAATGAGTCAGAAAATGGGATTAATAATTCCCTTGACTTTTCAGTCATGGAAAAGATTAAATACTTAGGCATACATTTTTTTTTTTTTTAAAAAGACATCAAAAATAATATGACATGATCTGAAATTATTGTTGCACTTTTATATTAGTATTTAAAGTGCCTGAAAATTCCCTTAACGCTTTCATCTAGAATAAAATATTTAAGACATGTAAATGTACTTATTTATTTTTCTACTTTTTTTCTGAAAGAATAAATGCTTGGTATAATGTGCAAAAAATTATTATAATAATAATAATAATACCAACCTTTGTTCCTTCATTTCCTTTCATCAGTGTTATCAATATTAAAAACAAGAAAAGTTTTTGAAATTTTTGAGATGTTTTTGAAAAGTTTTCCCCAACACATCGAAAAAGTTCTTAATTTATCTTATTTCATTTTTTTTTCATTGTTTAAATGTTAACAGGTTTCAATAAAAAGTATTATGTATTGACTTTAGTCTGATTAATGAGTTTTGAGATAAACACATTCTTTTTGAAATAAAATAAGGAAGATTGTCTAGTAAAGTTGTGCTTCTTCATTAGTAACAATGTCAAGATATATACTAACGATTAGCTTTTATGTGAGGAAACTAAACTGAACTGAATATAAATCATTATGTCAAGTGAAGTCACAAAGTCACATTTTATCATAGACAAAACAGTATCAATTATGATGCAAAAGAATCAGCGATATCATATGTCACAAAAGGGCACTGCAAGCAGCATTTGAAGAGTGAAGTTTCTTTTATAGACTTCTCTGAATGTGGTACTTACGGCTGCTTGTTGTCTCTTCAGCTTATCTCTGTACTCCTCAAGCTCCAGAAGGTTCAAATCCGGAGGGAGTCTCTGTTGGGCAAACATACACAAACAGAAAAATCTGAGATTTGATCATTTATTTTATTCTGATGGTACTATATATAAGTTTGAACATTGTATCAGATATCCCTCACTCAGACATGGCCAAATTATCTCCAGCTCTGAAGAGCTCCATAAACAACAGCAGCTGAACAGCTCAAACAAACTTTTACTTGAGATGCAGCCCAACTTTATTATAGAGGAATAAACAAATAAAACCCAGTGCCCTATGCCCAAACAGAGAAACAACGAAAACTCAAAAGTCTGGACTCGAATAAGAGTATTTAGTTTCCTCTTGGCTGTAATTCTCATTCCATGCATGCAGATTTTGCAAGGCACCACCAAATCGAATGAGATTTCGCATTTGCAGTATGTGAATAATCCATCAATCGTTGTTGGCTGCAACCTGTGCAAACACCCCTGGCTGTGTATACGTATACAGTGCTGCTTGAAAGTTTGTGAACCCTTTAGAATTTTCTATATTTCTGCATAAATATGACCCAAAACAATTAGATTTTCACACAAATCCTGAAAGTACACAAAGACAATAAAATCAAACAAAGGAGACAAAAATATATACTTTGTCATTTATTTATTGAGAAAAATGGTCCGGTGTTAAATATTTGAGAGTGGCAAAAGTATGTGAATCTTTGCTTTCAGTATCTGGTGTGACCCCCTTTTGCAGCAATAACTGCAAGTAGCGTTTCTTGTAACTGGTGATCAGTCTTGCCTGCACAATGGCTTGTAGGAATTTTAGCCCATTCCTCAGTACAGAACCACTTCAACTCTGTGACGCTGGTGGGTTTCCTCCTATGAACTGCTTGCTTCAGGTCCTTCCACAAAATTTCAATTGGATTAAGGTCCGGAATTTGACTCAGTCATTCCAAAACATTAGCTTTGTCCTCCTTTAACCATTCTTTGGTAGAACGACTTGTGTGCTTCGGGTCGTTGTCTTGCTGCATCGCCCACTTTCTCTTGAGATTCAGTTCTCGGACAGATGTCCTCACATTTTCCTTCAGAATTTGCTGGTATAATTCAGAATTCATTGTTCCATCAATGATGGCAAGCCGTCCTGGTCCAGATGCAGCAAAACAGGCCCAAACCATGATACTACCACCACCATGTTTCACAGATGGGATAAGGTACTTATGCTGGAATGCAGTGTTTTCTTTATCCAAACATAATGCTGCTCATTTAAACTAAAAAGTTATATTTTGGTCTCATCCATCCACAAAACATTTCTCCAGTATTCCTCTGGCTTGTCTTGAAACCTAGTGGACTTTTACACGTCTTGCTTTTAGAGTGATCTTTGTTGGTGGACCACTCCTGGGGAGGGTAACAGTGGTCTTGAATTTCCTCCATTTGTACACAATTTTTCTGACCATGGATTGGTGGGGTCCAAACTCTTTAGAGATGGTTTTGAAAACTTTTCTAGCCTGATGAGCAACACCAACTCTTTTTCTGAGGTCCTCAGAGATCTCATTTGTTTGTGCCATGATACACTTCCACAAACATGACCAAACTTTGATAGATCCCTGTTCTTTAAATAAAACAGGGCACACACAGACACCCTTTAATCATCTCACTGATTAAAAACACCTCTGAACAGATGGACTCTAATTTCACCTTCAAATTAACAGCTAATCCTACAGATTCACATACTTTTGCCACTCACAGACATGTAATATTGGATCATTTTCCTGAATAAATAAATGACAATGAACATATTTTTGTCTCACTTGTTTGTTTGGGTTCTCTGTCTACTTTCAGGACTTGTGTGGAATTTTGATTATGTTTTGTGTCATATTTATGCAGAAATATAGAAAATTCTAAAGGGTTCACAAACTTTCAAGCGGCACTGTATACGTGTTTGTATGTATGCGTGTGTGTGTACGTATATAGTGTGCGTCACCAAAGAAAAGTGTGACAAAAAAAAATCTCTTTCGTATTTAAAAAATGCTAAACATCTTACAGATTCTGCAAGTGGCATGTAAGACAATAAGAACACATTATGACATTCTCAAACACACACCTCAAGCTCGTATTGCACCATGTCGAAGGAGTCACTGGAGAAGTACACTTCCTCTATGCTATCAATGATTTCCTGTTCTGCCTGTGGATCAGTGGGTTGTTCTCTCAATTCCCTCAGCTCCTCCTGTGGGGAGAAAAAGAGAAATGAGAATGATCACTGGCAGGGAAATCTCACTACTTCTGGAACACCATCGTGGGGAAGCTTGCCGTGCAGCTAAAAACAGAGTTTGAACATTGATTATTTCTCACATTTGGCTTATAGCCAAGCCGAGTGCAAAGATTAAGTGGTCTTAGCACCCATCCCTGAGGAACACCCTTCATGAACCTTAATGAGGATCAGCACAGGAGCATCAATTTCACTCAAAACAGCTTGAAGAAACAAAGTCGTCCACTTTTCTTTGAAGAGGGGTGCTGAGAGGCTCATTATGCTTGATTCACATGACGTGATGCAATGTGGTTAAAACAGCTCCACGACCAAGACTGAGATAAACTTACTAAGCCATTCTGAATTACAAGAGCAGATGGAGGCAATGTTTAAAAATCCTTTAATTACAGCCGTAAGCCAAATTCACAGAAAGCATTCCAAATAAATAAATAAACCACTTATTCATGTTTGGCACTACTGAAAGAACTCCGAGTTGGACACTTGGTGATATATGATGGATCTTCCTATAAAGGCTGCAATTTGATGTCATTGAGATAGAAGCTAAGGAATTATTTGGCCTGAAAGCCTTTAATCTCCTCAAAGACACATGATGCGGCGTGGATGCGGTGCAGTCTGATGTAGGCAGCGCTGTGAGAGAGCGTGGGTGAACTCACTGAGGGACAGCACCGGCATCAGCATCCGCAGGGGGTGGGGTGGTATGAGTCATTCTCCACTGGTACGCGCACAGCAAGAACAAAAGACAAAATCCTTGGGCTCACTCGTTACCATTAGGCCTTAAAGACACCTTGAAATCAAAAACCTTGGACATTTGAGGCTGTTAGTCAAAGTCTAATAGCTTTGAGGTCATCAATATATTTTCACATGTGCTCATAAACAGTGACAAAATGAACCTAATTCTTTAATTATGAAAACTTTTTTGCCCATTACAGTAATTTTTAAGAACCTTTTTTTTTTTAACTATCATTCAAATTTATCCACTTAACCATTTTTTCCTAATATTTAAAGATAGCAATATGCTGAAATGTTAATTAGGTTATACTTTCTATTATTTTGGACCTTTCCACTACCCAAATTGCCTTCAATAGTAAATTTAAACAGAACCTCCCGCCCTATTTTTAACCAAGGGTCAAATTTTACCCTACCATTAAAATTTATTAATTTCATAATTACTTTAAATATTTAAAGTTGAGTTAAAATTCAAATAATTATTAAATCAATTTAAAAAATAATAACTAATTAAAATAAAAGTATAATTTTTATTACAAATATTTTTGGGAGTAACACAATGAGTAAAAGGAGATGAAGAACTAGCTTTGGGACACAACTACACCAAAGTTTGTCCCTTTCATTGTTTTTAATCATTTTTGCACTTGCAAATAACTTGCTTATTTTATAACTACTTTAAGCTACTGTAGAGTATAGAATAATTTTCTCATCTATCATAGAAAATCCATTCCACCCTCATTATAGCAAACTATTTGTTTCAGTACTACAGGTGTTTAAGAAAATACTGCAGTGGTTTTGGTGCCTTGAAGAGTTTTAGTAGAAAATAACAGCTTTTTTCCCCCTTGGGGGATTACATATATATTTATATAATCTTAGTATGTGTGGGCATGTGAATGTGTGTGCGTACCCTGCTTGACAAGAAAATATCCACTCTGTGGGAGAGATAGCTCCCAGGAGGCTACAGAACAGTACGTGTGAGGGGGTAAATCTTAGAAAACGTCACATATTTCTGGGTCAAATTTGATTTACTAAAAGCTGCATAACATCCTGAAAGGCCAAAAGTGAAAGACCATAATTGGTTCTAAAAATGCGGTTTCACATTTTTTTTTACATGGGTATTTCTGTAAAACAAAAAGCTTATGCAAAAACCAGAAAATGTGGTCTTTATATAATTTTCTTTACTGAAATCTAGTGATGTGCATGATCAACTGTCTGTCAGGTACTACTGAAAATATTAAAAAACATCTTCTCGGATTAACTAATTTTACCACAAGCGCAATAAAAAAAAAAAAAGGCCTACTTTCCTACTGAATCCCTCACCTAAATCTCACCATTAGTTTTTTAGCATAAGTTGCATAGGTTTTGGAGTTAGCTTTAGCTTTAAAAATATTATTAGGGATTTGTGAAACAATTTAAAACATACATATCACACTCATCACTTTTAATGTACATTTTAAATTTGTACATCACTCCACTTTTCTACAGTCTTATATTAATTTCTTCCCCACTCATCATCATGTAATATAAATTTGTGATATGAATTCTGAAACGCAGCAAAATGCGAAACTTCTTTGCATGAGTTTGCGTTTCCGGTCTCCAGCATTTGCATTCATATGAATGGAAGTCAATGGAATGAAAAGTATACGTGACAGCCCCTTTAATCGGCTTTCTTAAATTGCAACAAATTAGGTGAGAATGTAAAGTATTGCAACAAATTAGGTGTGAATGAAGTCCACGATTTGACCAGATGAGATTGAAAACATCAAACATTTCCCACCCAAACGGTCATTTGGAAAATAAAATGAAAACTCTGCCACTCTAATTAAAATGATCGCCAAAGCCTTTGTTCAATTATCTTTCCATCCCATGTAGACTGCCAATGTTTACCTAAATTAACACCGCTCGTCCTTTTATTCCCTGCACACAGACGGAGACGAACGTGAGTCTATTTGCACATAAAAGTGTGACTCAACATGCTATACATCAATCAAAGCTTAGGATGAGTGAACTGAAGGGTTACTGAATGATGCTGATCAAACGTAGGAGAGAGTGTGATTTAGAATCATATTAAAAATAACAATGAGTCTTTGTTCACATGGACTGAGATGAGAGAGAGGAGACGGACAGCTGTTGCTGATGTCAGATCTGCAGCAAGATGTGAGTGAACCTGACCCACTACTTTGTAATAATACTCTGTACCTGCTTCAGCTTTTATTTGTGAGATCTTTACAAATAACAGACTCCATTAAAAATCATCTAAATCTTCCAGGCTGCAATATGCATGAAAAATGGGAGGGAGAGAATCGTTGCGGATTATGAATTCATATGTGGTTGTAACCTCCAAAAGCACACCCACATTAAGAATGCGTCATCTTATGAATAATATTCAACATTTTACAATATGCTCTGCATAATATGATGAGGGCAATGACGACATTAGTCTAATGACATAAATAAACTGTATAAATGTTCATTAATCTTTACAGCAATTCTTCAAGAGGCATTCAAGACTGCTCCATAATGCCTTAATTATGTGATTATAATGCCATCTAGAGGACACAGGAGACTGTGCAGAAAAAAATGGGTTCCAGCCACTCAAAACATCTATTTTTCCATAGTTAATATCCTGCTATTTGACATTTGACAAGTTAAAATTACAAAATTTTTTCGGGGAAAATCTCAAAACCATACAGCGGAAATGGCAGGACATTTGTCAAGCACACAAGTCCCAAAATGAACACTAGCCAAGAGCTAAAGTAGAGTAAAAGCTGGCCTTAATCAAATTTAAAGAGTCACTGGCCAATTGGCTTATGACACTGCAAAACAACACATGATTTAAAACATAATACAAAACCAATATCTGAACCTCATTTGTTTTATCTGACATAAGCAACAAGAACAAATCAAAAATCAGATATATGGTCCATTAAATAAAACTCAGCGCCTGTAAAAACATCTTCAAAAATGTTCATCTCCACTTAAGTTTTAAAATGTGTTGATTCCTAGGCTGTAATCATAGGCTATATATTCTTTTTCCCCTCTCTGATATATAAAAATACTATCAAATTTGTTCAAAAAACAAAATGTAAAAATGTTAGCAAACAAATAAAGAAAGAAAATTATTTCAAAATCCTTCTTGTGATGCCCTGAACTGAACAATGTCTTGTTTACTTGTTAAAAGAAACTGTTAAAAAACAGGATGCTCCCCCCAAAACTTTAACTTTCAAGAAAATGATCATTTGCAGACAAATCTATTTTTCCCCGCACACAATCCTCATTAATGGTAGCTATTTTGAGGGCTAATCCATCATTTTCCTGTACACGCACGCTATGGACAGACCGTTCTTTTCAATGATCAAACACTTTCTCACTGCCTCAGTCGTTTCAGGAAAATTTCAAAAGTGTTGAAACAAACCCCACCGGGATCTAAGCCAGATGGTTCTGAAAATAATTTTCTGAAGTATGTGTAACATACATTTTTTTTAAAAATGACAGAGTAACAACAAACACTCTCTGCCGGTGGGAAAGAGTCTCCTTGATTTGGGTTATTTATGTCTGCAATAGCCAGAGATTAAAAGCAAAAAGTGTCCGCAGAAAATATCAGAGCTGCAGTTGAGAGTATACATCGAGCACTAAAATGACCTTAGAAACCTACAGCCAGAAGATCTAAAAGCCCAGGGGTCTAATCACAGCAAGGTCCTGCTGATTTAATGCACCTGTGAGGTAGCGCTAAAACCAATGCACTGGACCATGACCAGCGTACATCTATCTCACTGAATGAAGGTCATAATACAACTCAGTGGCACTGCTGCACTAAGGCTCAGCCAAAGTCTGATTAACTTTTTTTATACTCTCTCCTATATTTTACAATTTCAGAAACATGTTACATGGGAATATAGCTGAAATATAATTTCACAAAGCTCAACATAAGACGCATTTATTCAAATCTTCATATTTTACCTCTTTCGCACGATGATTAACACCCAAGAGAATAAAACTCAGGTTATGTTCTGCATATTTTCTACATTTCACAGAAAAAGGAAAAAATTCACTGCAGTAATCATGTAATCTAGACTGTAATATACGAGAAGGATTGATTCATCCAGTCAATAAAGACATTTTTCAGCAGGCATTTGAAACCTTTAAATATGAGTGCTGGGATGCATTAAAAAAACTACATCGCAGCCTAACAAAATCCATTCACAAATGTGAAAGCTTAATTCAGAAACAGTACATGTTAGGTTTGAGTCACCTTGCTGGGGGTCCTGAAGCTCTCCACAGGGCTCATGTCAACCACACTCTCCTGGGGACTCTTCAGACCCTGGCAGAGAAAAGAAACAGTAAACTATAAATATTAGGCAGCGATTTATGGGGATGGGGGTGTTGGGATCCTTAAAGCAAGAGTTTTCAATATTTCAAATGCAGTGGACCTCCAACTGTGACATTCTTCATGCAAGGGACTCCCAAAAAAAAAAAAAGTGTATTAAAGACTCATTTTATACTGTTATAAATATATATGAAATATTATTTGGAAAATATTTAGGCTAGTTTATTATTAAATTACATTGTCTTGTTTTAATATTGTACTATTGGATTTATTTATTACCGGTTTAAATTTTTATTTATTTAAATTAAATGCACATTACATAATTCAGTTTAATCATATTTTATTATTTATTTATACAATTTTACACTGTTTTTCTGTAAACCTTTACACAGAGGACCTAGCACTTCCTTGCGGCCCCCTAGGGGTCCCCAGACCCCTGACTGAAAGCCATAACCATAAAGTATACATTCGTTTTACATATGAGCAGATTATGTTACAATTAGGGATTTAAATGTTTCAGTAACCACAAAAAAGTTATACTACAAGCTAGTCAGAGGGGCGGGCGTATTCTTCCCAGGTTGAAATCAAGACTCTTGCAAGAGGGAAAAAAAATCCCGTTTGCTTGGAGATGTAACTATAGCAACAGCTTGGACACTTTTTGGATCATTAAAAATATTGAAAACATGAATGCAGCCATTATTCGACACTTCACTATAGATTTACATAAATCTAACAAATTTGGGGTACCAAATCTGGCTGGGGAGCCATTTATGTTGCGTAACTTCAAATGATCACAGCCCCAAGACTTATAAATTCTTAAAACGCAAGAAAAAATAATGTATAATTCGTATATAGAGATAACCATAAATATGAGCAATAATCCACCTGACAGTGCAGTAGATCATATTGCACAACGACAAAATACTGTTAACAACACACAGCCTACGTTTATAATCTTAACGTCTAGACCCATTTATAACCGGCTTAAAAGGGAGTTTCTTAATTGAGCTTGTTTATTGATTACGTACATCTGATCATTATGAACTATGAATTATGATCAAGAGCTCACCACCTTTTTATTTATCATTCCGATATTTTTGTCAATTATTCCAAATGCACTGATTAAAATCGTTATGATAACATGAGTAAATGTGCAGATCTCAAGAAAATATAAGCTGTTTTTCAGTTTATTTGTGTTTTAGCTAGCAGGCTAGCTTATTAAAAATGCTTCGGGATCCGTCAATGAAATCAAGAAGCAGACTGATGTGAGATGAGAAATAACCAACCTGACGAGCCATCAAAGACTTGATTTTCTGCATCGTAGAGTTGAAAACACGAAACAGTAAGCGCGATGTATCCTATGGTCTTTTTCTGTCAAACGGCGATTCAGTTCTTGCAGTGCTAGCAAGGTGCCATGTTTCACTGTTGAACTCACGTGACAGGTGGCTAGTGCAGCATGGGATATGTAGTTCCTCTGAATAGCATACTAGCGTTCGGTTTAAATGCCAGAAAACAGCAGTAGACAAAAACTGTTAATGACATTTATGACACTATTCTTTGTATTATATCACCTTTGCATCAAATTACAAAAAAAAAAAAAAAAGTTAACGCGAGGGTGTTTCTAATGCAGTGTCTATGGGAATTTAAAAGATTAAAGACGCCTTTGAAATCAGCTGAAACTGTTTTTTGTCCTGTAAACTAGGGCTGCGCAATTAATCGCATGCGATTGTCAAGCACATCTCGTCAGTAAAGCCGGTTCCGTGATTAGTAGTAAATCTCCATCACCTGCTTTCAGATGGAGCGGCATTTACTACACAGAGCCGTAGTTCACTGACAAGCTAGGCAATATCGCGTTCATAATCGAATGCGATTCATCTGTGATTATGAATGCGATATTGCCTAATTGTCAGTGAACTACTGTCAGCCCTACTGTAAACTGAAAACTGATGTTTTATTTTTGTTTTTTAGACTTTAGACTTTAGTTAAAGGGGATGAGTGACATACTCATTCTAGAGAGCTTTTGCTTTTTTACCCATGTATATCCGGTAAAAGTGAATTTTGACAACATTTAGGAGTGCACTAGCATACAGATGGCAAACACACAAAGCTTTAATAAAGGGGTCTTTAAACAAATGATTTAATAAATAATTGATTTTGTTCAAATGACACATTATCAAGGTGATGCCTGAATATCTTTAAAAACCAGAATGATATCATACTTCTTCTTGGATGGCAGCTCTTCCTTAGGAGCACAAACATCATACACACTATGATGACGACTGAAGAGATTGTAATGAAAGTCAATGGAGACAACGCACTTCCTTCCTGGCTATATTTTGCTTTTCCTGGAAACAAATCAATATCAGTGTTACTTGAATTGTATATTTTAAAATAAAGAATTTCTGGTGTGATCTTCATCTTTAAACTACCAAAAACCTGCATTGCATGCTTGCATTTTTTATTCTGTATTCACACTTAACTAAAATTCACTGCCTGTAACAACGTACACAATAATGACAGGTGCCAGCCCCTATTTACTTTCCAGTGGAACACAAGACTTAATCACAGGTGGGACAGATTTGCACTTAGCAACTAGGGAGAAAGTAGTAGTAGTAGTAGTAGTAGTAGTAGTAGTAGTATTTAAGCTTCAATAATGTCAATCTACTTTGATTTGATTAGGTCAGAAGAATTTAATAAAATAATTTGAAGGTTAATTTTGAAACGAGTCATTATTTTGGCATGAGAAGGACTAATGTGCAGATTTAAAACAGTGACTGCAAACATACCTTTGCCAATCCTGGACATCACCAGTGTGAACTTGGTCTCGTCCTGCTTCTTAGTCATATTGTTGAATGCCCTGCACAAGAACTCTTTACCCTGGGGTAATTCATGCGGCTTCACTTCAAACCGTGGTCCAGTCATGAGAACCTCTGTGCTGTTCTTTGTCTTAGAGATCCAGACGCAGGTGTTGGGAGGGTTGGAGTCCGCAATACACTCAAAATAGACCAGTTCCTCCGGGTTCACCATAAACACCCCTTCAGTTTTCAGACCTTGTTCAGAATTTACTGCCAAGTTATAAGGCCCATCTGAAAAATTTGGTAACGTTACAAAAGTTACAAAAGTAAGAAACTACTTTATTAGTAGTTTCTTTTTTAAAATTAATTTTAAAAAATCATTGGAATTTTCTATTACTTTGTTTTAGTTCTATTACTATTAATAACTAGAAATGATTCTATTACTATTAATTTATTATGTCAGTCATATTGTACAACAATAGCAAAGTTAAGGAGAAAAACAGAGACATTTTTCAGGAGGTCATGTAATTTCAAAATTGCAGCCCCCATGAGGCAACCCTTTTTATATCAAATAAATCAGCTTTTATTAGGCTACTGATATCAAATACTATTAATTTCTTTAGAGGTGCAACTTTTTTAATGAGGGGAAAAAAATTTTTTTTTCAAAACCTCAGTTTTGCACCTCTATTAGCTTAATCCACATTCATATTTCAGATCGACTTTTGCTAAATGACATGTCAGGACAGATCATGTTTGTCATCTGACTAACAATGCAAACAGCAGGTAATTCTCAGGCTGCAAGAGGAACCTGCTGGACAGTGTGCAATAACGAAGCAATGATTTACACAAGGGATGATAACAGATGATAAATGAGCTTTAAGTCAGAAAGCATAATAGATACTCACAGAACACAATGAGTTCAGCCGGTTTGCTTAGCTTACTGCTAATGTGGTTTTGGGCCTCACAAATGTATTGACCAATGTCTTCTTTCTTGATAGGATTTATATCAAGTGTCCCATAATCTTGTGAGAATGTATGCTGCTCACTTGGTCCAACCACCATGTTGTTTTTTAGCCATTTGTACTGAACATTTGTCCCATGTTCAACAGAACAAGTCAGCGTCACATTGTCCCTGTCTTCCACCAGTTCTGATTCTGGGGTCTTACTAATAACGGGGATGGACACAGGCACTGGGAGCAGAAAATACATTAAATTAAGTACTTACAAGAAAAGAAATCTGATATGTATATATGGAAGCTCGCTTAAATCTCAGGGGGGAAAAACTCAGACTTATTCCTCAACCTTATTTTTAATGTAAGAGTGGGTGTGGCCATTTCTAACTTGAATGATCACGGCTTCCGATGTCATTTGTATCCAGTTATTTTAACTGTACAAAAAGTTAGTTATGCTGCTTAATATTAGAAACTGGTATTTGTTATCATATTATTTAAAATATATTATTGGTATATTATTATGGTTCTAGCACAAACAGTTTTACTGTTTACTAAACTTTTTACTGTTATTTTTCTAGTTATTCACCAGTTTTCACCGGAAGTCTTACACATTCATAGAAAATAGCTCACTTTTGCTTTGAAAAATAAGGTGAATAAAGTCACAATTGTGAGATACAAAGACACATTGTGAGTTAAAAAGAGGAACAAAGTCAGAGTTGAGCAACATAAAGTTCAAAATGTGAGATAAAAAGTCACATTTTGAGTTTAAAGGGGTCATATGACGTTGCTAAAAAGAACATTACTTTGTGTATTTGGTGTAATGAAATGTGTTTATGCGGTTTAAGGTACAAAAAACACATTATTTTCCACATACTGTACATTATTGTTTCTCCTCTATGCCCCGCCTTTCTGAAAGCGAGGTGTGCTCTGATTGGCCAGGTATCCAGTGCGTTGTGATTGGCTGAATACCTCAAGCGGGTGACAGAAATGTTACGCCCCTTACCATACTGTGATGCCGTGTCCCGGCGCGACGAGACAACCAATAAAACCCATTATAAACGAAGCATTTGTTGCATCCAGTGAGGACATAATTACTGATTATAATGACTTATACTGTCTTTTTACGCGTTGCGTTGCATCGTGCCGAGTAAACAAAACCATGTCTGCATTTGTGATCGGAGAAATGACAAACAACAAGCCCTACTCTACACTGCTCAAAACTCGCGTTTGAATCATCAGTGGCAAATCCTTTAAATATGAAAATGTACTTACAGGCTGTGAGTCAGCATAATTTTTCAGCATCATAGACTGTATAGGGTCAGCATGCGCGCCGAAGGGGAAACAGGGGAACTGAATTCACCAGAACACCGGCATTGTAGGCTACTCTCCCAGGAAACAGTCCTCGTCCTCCATAAAATGCGTTGCACACATCTGAATATTTGGGTTGAACTGTTCTGGAACAGTGTTGTTAATACAACTTAACCCCTGATTTCTAGTCGTGTCCTCTTTTGGAAGACCAAACAAAGTAGTTTCGCTTTCACAACGAAACACACAGCGTCTTCACGAGATGGTGGCGGCGGCAACAACAATACTACAGCAAGAATAAAAGTTAGGCCTTCTTTCTTTGCGTGAACATTTGGGCGATGTTATGCAAATCTTCCCACATCATGACGTAGACATGTGGGGGTGTGTTTAAACGAGGCATTTTAGGAGGGCGTGGACAAGTCTTAACTTTTATAAAGAATATCTCTTTGGGTTTTAAACTTTAGTCTTTGCAACTTTAGGGATCTTATCTATTCATGAACAGCTTGTAACACTCCAAAGAGAAAGAAAAACTTGAAATCACATCATATGACTCCTTTAAAAGTTACAATTACACGAAACAAAGTCACAGTTGTGTAATATAAAGTTAAAAATGTGAGATAAGTAGTCACATTTTGAGTTTAAAAGTTATGATTACACGAAACAAAGTCACAATTGCACTATACAAAGTTCAAAATGTGAGAAAAAAATTCACATTGAGTTTAAAAGTTGCAATTACACGAAACAGACAGTTGCGCAATATAAAGTTCAAAATGTGATATAAAAATTCACATTTTGAGTTTAAAAGTTGCAATTACACTAAACAAAGTCAGAGTTGCGCAATATAGTTAAAAATGCGATATAAAAAGTCACAGTTTGAGTTTAAAAGTTGTAATTACATGAAACAAAGTCCCAGTTGCACAATTTAAAGTTCAAAATGAGAGACAAAGAGTCAAATTTTGAGTTTAAAAGTTAAAATCACATGAAGCAAAGTCACAGTTGTGCAATATAAAGTTCAAATGTGAGATAAAAAGTCACATTTGAGTTTAAAAGTTAAAAAGTTAAAACAAAGTTGCGCAATATCACATGGCACATTGCAAGATTTAGTCACTAAAATTTATTAAATCACATTGGGGGGTATAAAGTCAACTGTGAGAAATGAAATAGCCATTGTGAGGTATGAATCACAATCTTGTTTGGTTTTACTCTGAGAAGAAAACAGCTTCCTATCAATGACAGTTTCACAAGATGTTAAAAGCATTAGTAACAATATACAGTTTGAGTTTAAAAGTTGTAATTACATGAAACAAAGTCCCAGTTGCACAATTTAAAGTTCAAAATGAGAGACAAAGAGTCAAATTTTGAGTTTAAAAGTTAAAATCACATGAAGCAAAGTCACAGTTGTGCAATATAAAGTTCAAATGTGAGATAAAAAGTCACATTTGAGTTTAAAAGTTAAAAAGTTAAAACAAAGTTGCGCAATATCACATGGCACATTGCAAGATTTAGTCACTAAAATTTATTAAATCACATTGGGGGGTATAAAGTCAACTGTGAGAAATGAAATAGCCATTGTGAGGTATGAATCACAATCTTGTTTGGTTTTACTCTGAGAAGAAAACAGCTTCCTATCAATGACAGTTTCACAAGATGTTAAAAGCATTAGTAACAAACTTTACATCAATAGCTGTCATAAATGAGATCCCTCATAACACTCAAATGTTCTTACCGCTGACTGTGACTGTCACTCTTTTTGTGGCAGCAACTGGGCTGGGAATTCCTGGGAAGACGATGTTGATCTGCAGCTCATATTCCCCCTGTGTCTCTTCATCCAGATGGTCAAATTTTAGTGAGACATCAGGCAAACTGAGTGCCGGACGGTTCGTTAGCCTCAGATTTGGGATGGCATTGATGTTGTCGAAAGTGACCAAAAGGGTGTTATTAGGCTTAATCTTGTACCAGGACCCCTGGAACGTCACATTCTGGACATCAAAATGAGTCTCAACTTTGAGGAGCATCGAGTCCCCCACTTTTCCATGCTGTGTGGGCTGCAGTGAAACACATTCAGTGCATTTAGTGTCCGTACCTGTTCAAATGAGAGTGTTAAATGGTGTTTAATGACTCATACTGTCAAAAAAAAAAACACACGCATATAATCAGTTTTATGTCATTTTAAAAGAGCTATTCAGTCATGACATCAATCGAAAGCTAAGTCACCATGGATTTCCTCAGGAAGTACAAATGGGTTTTTAAGATTGGCGGTTTTTGATTTATGGTTCAAATAAGGTCACTGAACTTAAAAAGACTTTCATAGCCTATTTTGTTCTATTGCACAAAGTCATAGTTAAAAACGTGAAGTTTGAAAGCATTGTGTGCATTAGCAACACTTGATGTTAACAAGTTACACGAGGAGTACAGCTACAAGTTCATATGCCATTATATAACGATCTCTTAACAACTTGCAGTTCTCTTTTAGGCTTTAGGGCTAAAAAAAATAATAATTAAAAATAGTAAAAATAATCATTTATTATTTTAGAGGTGCAGTTTTTGTAAGTAAAAAGATTCACATTTCTTGTTAAAAAAACCATGTAATTTCAAAATGACTACTTGTCACGAATCCGGTCCATGAACTTCCATCTGCTAGCCATCAGAGGTCACCCTTTCCGATTTCATTGACTCTCGCACTACACACTGTTGCACATCACCCCGGACTACATATCCCATCATTCATTGCACTGATTGCACTCAGCACGGATTGCACACAGCTGTTAACACTGATTGCACCCAGCTGTTTCATATCACTCCCTCACTATTTAACACTCACTCTGATCCCTTCCCTCTGCCGAGTATTGTTTAGCGCATGTCTCAGATAGCTACACTACAGAGCCCTCATTTGTTTCCTAGCCTTAGCCTTAGCCTTAGCCTTAGCCTTAGCCTTAGCCTTAGCCTTAGCCTTAGCCTTAGCCTTAGCCTTAGCCTTAGCCTTAGCCTTAGCCTTAGCCTTAGCCTTAGCCTTAGCCTTAGCCTTAGCCTTAGCCTTAGCCTTAGCCTTAGCCTTAGCCTTAGCCTTAGCCTTAGCCTTAGCCTTAGCCTTAGCCTTAGCCTTAGCCTTAGCCTTAGCCTTAGCCTTAGCCTTAGCCTTAGCCTTAGCCTTAGCCTTAGCCTTAGCCTTAGCCTTAGCCTTAGCCTTAGCCTTAGCCTTAGCCTTAGCCTTAGCCTTAGCCTTAGCCTTAGCCTTAGCCTTAGCCTTAGCCTTAGCCTTAGCCTTAGCCTTAGCCTTAGCCTTAGCCTTAGCCTTAGCCTTAGCCT